GCGATGCAACGCGTAAAAAGACAGTATAAGTCATTATAATCCATAATTATGTCCCCACTGGATGCAACGAATGCCTCGTTTATAATGGGTTTTCATGTTTTTGAATCATCACTCCGGCCTGACAGGGCATCATCACAGTATGGTAGGGGCGTAACATTTCCGTCACACTCTTGAGGTATTCGGCCAATCATAACGCACTGGATAGCTGACCAATCACAGCACAACTCGCTTTTTCAGAACGATGAGCTTTGTAAAAATCGACCCGTTTCAGAAAGGCGGGGCATAGAGGAAAAACAATAATGTACAGTATGTGGAAAATAATGTGTTTTTTGAACCTTAAACCGCATAAACGCATTTCATTACACCAAATACACCAAATAATGTTCTTTTTAGCAGCATCATATGACCCCTTTAATGCTTATAACTATAGGGAGGGGTTAAGGCCACTGTACACCACACCGCATGAAAGGCACACACACACACACATATATATATATATATATCAAAGGTAGAATTTTTTTTTTGGCACGTCATGAATTATTAATTTATAAGCATCATGATTTTTTTGGGGGGGGAGTTGCACCACATGGCATTCTACAACTTCAACTAATCTTGCCTTGTCATACACAGGTAAATAAATAAATACATTAATAAATAAATAACATCATTGACTAATCAGTCCATCAGTTGAGAATTATTGATCTAACTGATCAAGACCCTTTAGAAAGACAAGGAATTGGAAAAGAAGCATGGAGGTGTATCCACCTTATTTTGCAAAATGAAAGTAAGCTATTTTCTGTGAATGTGCAAGACTTCCGATTAATTAACCACTAGGTGAATAACTAGAAGGATAAATGCCTGTTCACACCAAGAACGATAACTATAAAGATAACCATATTAGCGTCCACACCAGCGGACGATATCGTCTGTTTATTCGACTGTTTAGCCGTCTGACGCTTTAAATTCTCAAGCTCACAATAGTGATTGGGTGTCAATGTTTTTATCATATCATCTGGAAAGAAAATGCTCTGAAAGTGTTTCTAACGACATTGTTTCTCTGTGCCTTTCATCGTTATAGCTGTGGTGTGGACTCTGCTATACTTGAACGATTTTTAGAACTATATCTTTATCATTATCTTTATAGTCACCTTGGTGTTAACAGGCCTTAACAAAGTGCAGTAAAAAGTATAACAATTTGTGCTACAAAGCAGTGGTTTATGATCCTTATAATAAATTAAAATAATATGATAAAAAATGCCAATTTGCAGTATCAAGCAATATAACGGATTGTTTTTGTACAGCTAAAATAACTGAAATTACAGTGGTCACACACAAAATGTCACACACAAAAGTTACAAATGGCCAGACTAGCTCTTACTTCAAAAATAAGGTGAATATCTTAAAAAAACATCTGGCTTAATATATAAAACTTTGCACAAATAAAAAAAAGCATAAACATAAAGTGAAAAAGTGTAATAAATAAGTGACATGTGGCCAAGTATGGTGACCCATAGCTACTCAGAATTAGTGCTCAGCATTTATCCCCTCCAAAGTGTGCGCACACACACGCACGCGCACGCGCACACGCACACGCACACACACAGAGCAGTGGGCAGGCCGTGGGGCACCTCAGTCATGGTATTGAATGTGGGAGAGAGCGCTGTACATTCACTCCCTCCACCTACAATCCCTGCCGGTACGAGACTCGAACCCGCAACCTTAGGGTTACAAGTCCGACTCTCTAACCATTAGGCCACGACTTCCCCACATAGAAGTTTCTGCTCATTTCCACAATGAACAGTTCACTAACACCACAGACACTATGGCCAGTCATACAACCTACTATCAAACTGACACAACAACAACACACAGCTCTGACTCACTTCTCATCTGATATACCACCTCACAAACACACTCAGACAAACTTCTCGGAAAACACACTGTGCAAACTGATTCAATTCTTTGTTAGAAACTTCTCAGAAGAGTTGTACTCTGCTGCCGGTGACTCAATTCAGGCACCTGCGGGAGGTCTATTTAGGCAAAGATAAGATGGCTGATTGGCGTGGGTGGGCCACTGACTCAGGAGATTTTTCTTGCCGGGCTGTACAGATGCTTTTTTATAAAATAGAGACAATGAATCCCTACACCAATCTTCCTCAAGCTGAAAGTGGCTTCACATAGCGCACAGCTGAAGCTTTGATGGTTTTAAGCTGTACTGCTGTGCCTTCACTGCACTACGAGAGAAGACAGACAGCAGTTACTTTAATGGGAGGATGCTATTTCTATGCAGAATGGGGTCTCTATTTTATTCTACATTCTATATGATCACAGGGTTGTCATCATACCAAAATTTCAAGAGTCAATAGCAAGAACAGTGAAACATGATTATCGATACAACTTTCAACACAATATTTATACTTGAACTCCCTTTCTCTCTATACATACATACATACATACAGTATATTAGATATATTGTTAAGATAATACATTTCATTAAACAGTACATAATATAATTTCTTTAAATTTTTTTAATAGAAGATAACTATTCTAATGGAATATTATTAATTATAGAGCTATTCAAGTAAAAATAAAGTGGTAATATTAAATATATAAACATTATATAAAATTATGTCATACATTATGTGCAATATATATATATATGTGTGATGTGTGATCTTTATATTTTTATATAAATATTTTTTCTCTTTCTTTGCAAAATGTATTTAATGTAATTAAATATTACATACAGTATTTTAAAAGATATCAAAAATATTTCTCAGTTAAGCTGCTTGAAGTTTTAAGAAAGAAATATTTTTTCTCTTTCCTTTTCAATATTTTGATTATAGGCCAAATACATAGGTCCAATATTCTGACACTAAGCATGTAATGTAAATGTTTCATTAATATCCCGCCAAGTCAGGCATTTTGCCCGAACTACATTTGATCGTTCTAGTGCTTAGCAGCATTACCATGAGTTCACTTCACAAACCACACAAGCACATACCGTATCAAAATTGCAGTACTTTTGACATCCCTAATGACGACAGGTCTGAATCTCTAAGCATATTTGGCGTATGATTCAAATGCAATTACTGACGTGGTGACGGACTTACTGATTAGGCCTGACTCATTCAGCGTGATCAGACTGCGTGGGATCAGATCACACACCAAACTGGGCTCTCAGTGCCAACATCACTGGTCATTAAATTCACCACCTGCTAGATGTGCCCGGTCCAGAATTTGCCTGATGTCACTTCACTAATAGAGGCAAAGCTTGCAGATTGATCATTTGGAGTGACAAAGTTTCCAAGGTAACGCAGGTACTTACAATAGGGCCGGGTGAACCTTGTGGACCCTCGCCTCCCTTCAGACCAGATGGACCCTGTGTGAGAAAGAGAGAGGATGGTTTAATTCTCTAATGAGAGCTGTGCTTCAGAATCTGTCAAAGTGGCATCTGAAAGTCTGCGTATGCTTGCATGTGTTTTTGTCAGTATATGGCAGCTGTTTGTACTATATGTCTCCTGGAAATACAGCCCAGAGTGTTTATAAAACTGTCAATCTCTCAATTTCCTACATCAGAAACAAGTGCTGGCAATGCATTGTCATATGAAGCCAAGGACACATCACTCTTCTCCCATCAAGTCATAATCTGAGTCATGAAAAACATACGAGCCAGCTAAAAGTAAACATCAAAACAGCAAGTGACGACAAAATCAACTGTTGTTATTGAACTCATACTGGCTTTGTATTTCAAATATGACTTTCAGCAACAACTGATTCATGAAAGAGATAACTAGTGGAGACTGAAATTCATCAAGATGTCATATGCTGTTTCTTAAACTAAAAACATAATTTTTTTTTTTATTATATTCAGTCCCACAGTTTAAATATGCTTAATGAAGAAAAACTAGAAGAGACATTTCCAAGTCCCAGTGACATACGCCTGCTTTGAGTTGGCCAACTGTGGCCGTTTGTTATGTACAAAGTAATTTACAAGCCCACAGTGTTCCACATCAGAGGGACAATAAATGTTAAACTGCATCTTTAAAACTTACTGAAAGTCAGTCATTTTATGAGATACAGGTTAACATTTTTTGGGGACAATGTAATGTGTCATTTGAGTACCTCATGCAATTTTGGTGTCCTGAAACAGCTGTGAGACTGTAAAATCTGACTAAAAATTTATTATTTTTCTAAAATGTACCTTCAACAAGAGATTATGTTGGTACACACAAGTTTCTTTTCAATAAATCATGGGCCTTTGTGCATTAAAGACAATATAAAATCTAAATTGTCTATTTATATATTACTGGTTATTGTGTTTCTCTGCAGTATTAAAGACGTATTTCAAAAGCTTGCTGGATGTCTTAAAGGGTTAGTTCACCCAAAAATGAAAATCAGGCTGTGTTTTACTCACCCCCGAGGCATCCTAGGTGTATATGACTTTCTTCTTTCAGACGAATCCAGTCGGAGTTATATAAAAAATGTCCTGGCTATTCCAAGCACTATCATTGCAGTCAGCGGGTGTTGCAGTGCTTCAGTCCCAAAGAAGTGAAATAAAAAGCACCCATCCATTAAAAAAAGTGTCTCACACGGCTCCGGGGGGTGAACAAAGGCCTCCTTTAGCGAATCAATGCGTTTTTGTAAGAAAAATATCCATATTCAAAACGTAATAATCAATTTAATCTAGCTTGTGCTCACTGTTGTAAACGGAAGCAGCTCCGGGCGGATGATGTATGAGTTCAGCGCTGCGCATGCGCCACTCAGAAGTGACGAACGTGGAAGCGCAGATCAAAACAAAACAACAGTCACGAATTAGAAGTACAAAACGAGGATTTGTAAAGAAGAATGTCAGAGTATTTCGATATAAGCCAAGAGGAGACTGGTTTTCCTTTGCTAAAGTAAGGAAACGTTGCTTCTTTTGATGCTGTAAACAAACGTTTGTTTTCACGAGACTCACCAGTGCATGCGCAACGCTAAACTCATACGTCATCAGCCCGGAACTGCTTCCGTGTTCAACTGTTGGAGCAAGCTAGATTAAAGTGATTATTACGCTTTGAATATGGATATTTTTCTTACAAAAACGCATCGATTCGCTACAGGAGGCCTTTGTTCACCCGGAGCCATGTGAGACATTTTTTTATGGATGGGCGCTTTTTATTTCACTTCTTTGGGCCTGAAGCACTGCAACACCCGCTGACTGCAATGATAGTGCTTGGAATAGCCAGGACAGTTTTTAATATAACTCCGACTGGATTCGTCTGAAAGAAGAAAGTCATATACACCTAGGATGCCTCTGGGGTGAGTAAAACACAGCCTGGTTTTCATTTTTGGGTGAACTAACCCTTTAATGCATGTTAAATATGTCATTTAATCTCCATGAGCCTCAGTCTTATAGTTCGGACTGTACTCTCTCCTGAGGCATTCATCCAGTGTGAGCATTTGCATGAACAGCAGACAGTTAAGCAGCTAATGGCCATTTGGTGGGGGACATGACATTAACTTGTTTGTTCTTACCGCTGCGCCATGAAGCCCTCTTTGGCCTGCGAACCCTTTCAGTCCGGAAGGGCCAGGTTTCCCAGAAAACCCCTGAGGACCTGGATCACCCTTCAAGGAGACAGACAATGATAATTTAGTCTTCAAACTTAAAACCACCAACCTCCACTGCTGCTATTAGTAGGCATTACCAGCCACCTACACATTGTGAAATTGGACTGAACATTATGCGAATTCTTCCCAGTTATTACCCTTGAGTGATCTGAAGTGAACAATTTTTAACAAACTGTACCTTTCCACCTTCTTTGCCAGCAGCTCCAGGAAGACCTTGCTCTCCAGGGGGCCCTGGCGATCCAGGATGCCCTCTCTCTCCAACAGGTCCAGTTTCTCCAGTCGAGCCCTTTCAAATTCAAACAGGTTTTAAATTTAGCTTCTGGCTAACTGCAGGAGATGTTTTATAAGAGCAACATGTTTTTTTTTTCTTTTCACTTTCTACCCCTATAACAGTAACTGCTATTGCTCACCTGTGGGCCAACAACACCTCCAGGTCCAGGAGGTCCAGTCTTTCCTTGGAAACCCTGTTTGAGAATAAGCAAGTCATTGTGAGACATTAAATGGAATTTATTGTAGTTATCACATTCCTGGACACAAACGTAGAGAAAAAGAAAACCTGACATACTGGAAACTTTATGTAAATATCACTAAACTGTACATATCCAGCCTCTGAAATGTCAGCAGCACTTGTCTTTTTTTTCTTATTTTCGTTACATCCACTTCTTTCCTTAAATCAGTAAAAGTCAAGTGCAGTGTTTTCATCTTGAAAAAAATAAAGGAGTGTATTTTAAGATAAAATTAGTTTCTCCTTTTAACACTCTATCTGTTGGATGTTCTTGATTAGAAACAGAAAGATAGACCTGTCAAGAGCAGTGTAGCACCTTGACATTGTCAGCAGCTAAAAGGTAATACACCATATAAACACTGTCCACAACGTTTATTCCTCTTTACGCAAGAGACAGAAAACACTTGTGAAGACAAAACGATACTCACAGTCTCTCCTCGCTGTCCAGGGTGACCGGGCAATCCATCCTTTCCAGGAGGCCCCTGAGGGAATAACAAAATGAATATTGTCACATTTTTATGTAAATGTGATTTACATAAAATCACATTTATGTAATTATTATATAATAGACTCATAGACTTGTGGATATCATTCCTTCAGGTTATGTGGTTTAATGGTTACAGTTAGACCCATTATTTGAACTACAGTATAGTTAGTCTAATGTATAGAAGCCCATTTTAGCCACAAAAGGAAAAACAATAATGCTTTGGCAAATCAAAATAATGACATAAAAGTAGAAATTATTAGATAAAAGTCATACTTGTGACATCAAAATGCCAAAATTATAATTAAATTTTTTTTATGTCATAATTTAGAATTTTTCCAATTAAGATGAATAATTAGGTCATAATTATGACAAATAATGAAGTCATACTTAGTCAAACACATACTCTATTTATTTTTACTTAATTTTACTTAATTTTTACTACTTAATTATTATTTACTATTTAATGTCAAAATTATAATTGTAATGTTTTTTGTAAATTATGTTTAATAATTAAGTAGTAAAAATTAAGTAAAATTAAGTAAAAATAAATAGAGTTAAAAGGTAGAATTTATGAGACATTGAAAGTCATAATTTCAAATTTCTATCTTGAATAATTGTGAATTTTTATATTATAATTTCAGTTTACGTCAAAATTACTAGTTATCGCATAATTTTGACTTTTCTATCCCTAATAAATGAATTTCTTAGGTGGTGGAAATTCTAAAGTGAGTCAAAGAATAGAATATATTATATCCACAGCATTGTAATGATCAAAACCATTTGAAATTGATAAAAACACATACAGGTGGTCCTTTAGGGCCTGCTAATCCAACAGGGCCCTGAGGTCCTTGGGGTCCCTAAAACATGAAGAAAGAAACATGTAAGGGAAATGTAATGGAAAAGTTTTTGACCTGAAAAGGCTGACAAATACAACTGAATGGAAGCAATAATTCAACCATCACTCACTCTCTCTCCTGGGCCACCAGCTGGTCCATCATTTCCTGCTGTTCCCTAAAAAAATGAAACACAGTCAAAGGTGCCTGTTACAAGCAAGCATTCACAAATACCAGAAACTAATTAACTAAAACAGGACTGATTAAGCCTGACCTTTGGTCCAGGTTTTCCTGTTGGACCTCTGGCACCTCTTCCACCACGGGGACCCTGGGAACAAGAGTTATTAGCATCAAGCTTTCTGTATCATTAGCATATGTAGAGAAAAGAGTTCCTTTCTACTAAACAGATTCAAACTTGACATACCGTCGGTCCTCTTTGTCCTCGTGGACCCGCTTTACCAGCAATACCCTAAAAAACCAAGCCAACCATCTATGAAATTACATATTACATTACACATTACAATAACTGAGTTCTAAGACTAGTGAACTTCTGGTATAAGTTGTTTGTAATCAGAACCAGAGAGGTATGTTAAAAAAATGGCTCCCTTCAGGCTGTAGCTTGTTAAAAGAAATCTAATCTTATAGTGAAATCAAAAGGTCCTCATACGTACCCTTGCTCCCTTCTCGCCATTGGCTCCAGGGATGCCAGAGAAACCAGTTGAGCCCTGTAGATGGAGACAGATTTAGACTGACAGACACATTGTGGGGAGCAGTTTTTATACCGTGCAAATGTCACACTAACTTCTCTGCAAAAGTATCCAATATTCATCCCCACCTTTAAAACTATGGTTTTTGAGCAAAAGTGAAGCTGTGTTGACAGAGAGAGAGTGTCCTTGAAGAATAATTCAACAACATTACAGCTAATGCTAATGTTATGTGGGGGATACTGAGAGGGGGCAAGCTTTTGGAGTTGATAAACATGAGTGATGTGCGCTTGTTAGCACAAGGACAGGAGATGAAATTGAAGGTCGAATTATTTTGGCAGGCAAAGAAGGGGAAGCGCACAATGGATATGCATCAGTAATTTACTCCACGGGATGGTCGCCTGCACAGGATAATGGAGCAAATCAAACAGACAACTGCAAACACACACACACACACACACACACACACACACACACACACAGAGAATAAGGAACACTACAGTTTGATTGAACCAGGGGAAGTGAGTGGAGAAGGCCAACAGCAATTGTTCCATCCCTACTGAAAGTGAACACTAATCACAATGCTCCAGCTCCACTCTGGGTTTTATTTAAAATATCTAATATCTAATTTTTAATTAAAATACACACACACACAGAAACAGCACTTGGAGAAGTTTAATGCTTCATCAAAACACTAACATTAACCCATTAACATGTTATGCTCATGTTGGTTGCACGATAAGCCAGCTATTAATTATTTTCATGTTATGCACCATAGCCAATAAATGGCAAAAATTCTTTGTCTAAATAAATTGAGGAAAAAAAAGATATATACACAAAAATGTAAAAAAGCTAAAAAATTTAAAAAAAAAAAGCTAACAAAGTGCAAAACGTTTTGGTGTTCAACCCTCCATCAGTACCTAAATAAATATATATGCTTATTAGCATGCATATTACTAGCATACTGGCTGTTAATTAGTACCTACAAAGCACATAATAATGTCTTATTCTGCATGACCATATTTTAGATCACTTAATCCACCACACATACCTAAACTTAACTATTAATAAGCATCAAATTATGAGTTTATTGAGGGAAAACTCTCAAGTAATAGTGAATATACGTTCCCTATTTTAAAGTGTTACCAAAAAAATAAAAAATAAATAAATAAACAGTACCCATCATTTAGCAATATGATACTGATATATTGCACATCCGTACGTGATGTATGAGCGAGATAAATCACTGGAACTCAAACAAACAAACAAAACAAAACAAGACCAAAAAAAAAAAACAGGGAAAAAAATTATAATCACACAACTTCACTCTTCGTTCCACTTTCAGACACTCCTCAAACAATTTGAACATAACCCTGAATAGGCCAAACATCAACAGTAAACCCAGAGCTGAAATCGCTGACAAAGCAGGTTGTACTTCAAAGTCGCTTTGCACCACTTGCTATTCAAACAAAGTAGGATCCATTATATATATATATATATATATATATATAAAATCAATGAATTCCAGGGAATTCAAGCTATTTGAGTGAACCAGCCCGTACACTGAATGAAATGATTGTTTTGAAATAATAAGCTGACAAACACCACAAACTGTGTCTGCATATTCTTGAGCTGCTCACAGGCTTGCACTTATGCTGGGTGGCCAAGAGATAAAGCAGTCAGCGTCATGGAGAATGAGTTTATCCTATTAACTCTGTCAACACAGGCTATCAGAGAACAGCAGGCCTTGCGTGTCAAAAGCAGCGAAATATAAATAAAGCAATACTGACTGTGACACTGTTTAAGAGACATGATAACTTCATAGTTTCATTTAAGGTTAATGATTAATTGTAACGGAGATAATAAACTTAGTGATGCTTTGATAAATAAATAAATAATGTAACATAAAATAATGATAAAGTTGCAACAGGAAACGTGTCAGTACTTACCTTAGGACCTTGTCTTCCTGGGTAGCCAGGCAAACCTGGAACACCAAGTTTTCCCTAAAAAAAAAAGATAAGAAAAGAAAAAAGAACTAACTCAATTTTCATTTTGAGTTTTTTAAACAATCATCATATACAATGACAATAAAGCATTACACCACCTTGCACAAACTACAAAAGCCTATGGGAGATGTAATGGAGTATTTGGCTGACATTTAAAACTGGCATTCAAAATCAATTTATGGTTATGAGTTCAGTGTCATTTTAAGTTTAATTCACACATATATTAATAATCCCTGACAGATTTTTCCAGGGCTGGTCATTTTTGTACTTTGCCTTTATATTCAACATACGTTTTAAACTGACCTTCTCTCCTGCCATGCCCAAAGAACCAGCCTCTCCAGTGGGACCTGCTTTACCTTTCGGCCCCTCTGGTCCATCTTCTCCTCTGGGGCCCAGCACACCAACCTCTCCCTGAACACCAGCAACAACGCACAAACATTATATTAGACATACAACAACTAAAATGGTTAAGGTAAGTCTTTGTTACTCACCTTGTCACCCTTGAGGCCCATGTCACCCTTAAACCCAGGAAAACCATCTTCTCCCTGAAATCAGTCAAATCAGATCAGATCATTTATTTGGGAAAAATATAAACTTACATAGGTTTAAATAAATAAATACCAAAAATATATAAATAATATTGGTCATTAAAAAAAAAAAAAGTTAAAATGGAATGAAATAACATTGATCAAATTCAGAGCATTTATTTTGATAAAATGTAAACTAATTTAAGTTAATAAAAAAATTAAAATAAAAACAACAACGACAATAGTAATAACAGAAAAAAAATAATAATAACAGCAACAATGGAAATAATATTTGAATCGTATAAGGTGAAAATCTAATAATACCGATTAAACTTTCAAGCATTTTTTTAAATCTAATTTAAAATACTCCATAAGAACATAATTGATAAATGCTGGCATCTTGTGGCCATAGTGAAAACTGCTGGTTCGAGAGATTAAGACTTAATATTTCATACCAATGATGATAAATTTTTAGAAACAAAAGTCTTGACTATTGTGTGAATGACACTTGGTGGCCAGTACAGAGGATATAGCCTGAAACAGACTGAGCCACAATATTGTATATATACAAAATAATAATTAGAACAGATTACAATTCTGCTATAATTTTTTTTTCTGCTTATAAATCTCTACTAACGTCCAGTCATTTGTGATTTTGCATTATACCACACACTCATTACAACCGATTAAAGCCATTTTTGGTGCAAATAGTCCCTGAAATGGCCTTCCAATTTTACCTGTCGGCCTGTCATCTGTGTGCCTCATTTTAGAGACTGAGCCAAGAGCTCAGTAATGGAGACAGGGGACATGGTCATTTGCTTACCTTTTCTCCTGTGTTGCCCTTCAAGCCACGAACGCCCTCTGCACCCTAAACAGACAAAACAATGAATAGAAGCTCTAATGGATAGAATAAAAGCACAACATTTTGATAATAAAGAATCAGTGAGATGAAGAGGATCAAGCTTGTTTACCTTCACGCCTCGGGGACCGGGATAGCCAATGGACCCTTGGGGACCTAGGTGTCCCTATAGGAAACGAGTAAATATAATAAGAGTAAATCAATCTGGATTAATAGAGGGGAATTAGGTTTTAAACGTCTAAAGGGGCCGCACATTAAGTGTTAATTACAGACAGTGTTAATTATGGGTGTACAGTGGCTTTGCACTTGAAATGTGTTCAATAACTTAGAATGACAATTAATTTCGAGACAAACTAAAAATACACTCACAGCTGCTCCTTTCTCACCGGGAGGACCCTCTTTCCCAGGATGACCCTGTTCAAAGATTACAAACAAAGGCATCTTCAGTGAAAGTCTGAAAGTAATGTAAGGCAAATACAGCTGGGTATGGTCTTGTGGATTTAGTGTACAGTAATATACATTATTCAGAATATACAGTATATATATAAAAATGCCAGTGTTATGACTATTCCAGTGTAAGAATCTTTTTTGCAGGAATCAAATTTTTAGGGGTTGTGCACCACTTAGTATTTAGACTGAGGCAGCAAAAAAGAAAAATAAATGTTTTTAATAATAAATAAATAAATAAATATATGTCATCATACAAAAACATATATTCACTATTCAAAACTTTGGGCCAGTAAGCTTTTTTAATTTTATTTATTTTTTTACTTTTATTCAGCAAGTTAAATTCATCAAAATTATTAAACTAACCAAAAGAGAAAGTAACTACATTTATACTGTTTTAAAAAAATATACATTTTAAAAATGCTGTTATTTTGAACATTCTATTTATCAAACGTGATAATAATAATGTTTCTTGAGCAGCAAATTTGCATATTATGAATGATTACTGAGGGATCATGTGACACTGAAGAGTGGAATAATGGCTGCTGAAAATTCAGCTTTGCCATCACAGAAATAAATAATATTTTAAAATATATTAAAATACAAAAGGTTATTTTATATTGTATTTAATTGTAATGTTCACCATATTTATATAAAATAAATGTAGCCTTATGCAATATAAGATATTTTTTTAAACATTTCTTCTAAATCTTAGTGAATGTATATTTTTATTTGTGACATAAACACCCATTACAATAAACACAATACAAAAAAATTAAAAAAAATACATAAACATATATATTCTTAGAATATTTTACCATAAATATTTTTGTTCCAAAAATAAATAATAATAAATATATAATTGTATGGACCACAGTGGAATTTCATTTCCCAGAATGCTACATTTAACGTCTTCAAAATGTCAATTCACATGAAACAGGCTGAAATCAAAGAAGGTCTCTGTTTTAGCATGTTGTGTTGGACTAATGAAAGCCCTCTGTCGGGTCTGTGTTGAATTTCTTTGAACTGCAATTCAGTAAATTCCACTTCCTGTCATTCCAATTCAAATTTCAACTCATGGATTGAAAGAGAGCCAACACTTTAATTCTAAATTGTGCAAGGTAAATATATTCCCCTCAAGCCAGGATCATCATCAAGCTGGTTATTGGCTAATGATGTGTGATGATGTAAAGTATTTTTGATATGAACTTAGAGATTTAGTTGAGGGGAGAATATGAAATAAAGAAAACTCCACTTACAGGAGACCCATCAGCCCCAGCCAGTCCATGGAGCCCCTGTTTCCCACTGGGACCCTATGAGAGAGAGAGAAAGAGAAAGCAAAAAGAGGTTAAGTGAGAAAAGAAGGAAGAAAAAGAAGAGGGAGGAAAAACACACAATTAAAGCTGCGATTACTGGTGTGCCCAAGTGATTCGCTGGGCAACTTTTATAAGCAGTTCAATCCTAAAGTACTTCATTATCATCTTTTTCCTCTTGGTAAAGAAGATATCTAATCATACGGTATGTCTGGAAACACTCCACCTCTTCTGGAGTCACATTTCAGACTCTCTGGCCTCCATCCAGGAGCCCTGACAAAATGCTTGTCTGAGAGTCTAACCAATGACAGTTATGTGTGTAAGCATATCTCCTGCTTGTCAAAGCATTAGCGAGTCTTGAGGTGTGTGTGTGTGTGTGTGTGTGGTTTTCCACTAGTCAGCAGTGATCTGTGAGCAACATACAGCTCAGAAACCGAGGAGTCTGAGGAATCGTTTATAGGGTTAGGGCAGAAAAATGCCGTCTGTAATAACAAAGACGATGGCTGCCGGGGTGGCCAGCTCTCATTCACAAACTCACTTTCTCTCCAGGTGGACCGATCGGGCCTTGAGGACCAGGCAGACCCTGCAAGACAAGATTTCAGAAGTCAGATAGTACAATATGGAGTCTTCAGGGGAAATATGATAGTAAAGTTTATATTGGAAAAAGCTGTATGAGCACCCCTCAGTCAAATCTGAAAAATAATTAAAAAAAGGATACATTATTCTGTGCGTGACTGTGTGAATATACGAGTCCTGTACTCTAGAAACACACTTACGGAATTAGGATGCAGATTTAGATTAATGGCTCTACCAGATTTCTCTTTCTCTTACTTTTTCTGTCACATTCTTTTAATGACAGTTCATTGAGCTCCACCTTTAACTGAATACAACAGAAAATGCGTAAAGAGAGCATGTAACGAACCAATGAAATCACTGTGTTGACATATTTCCAAATAAAATAGGAAGATGGTGTGGGAGATATCGAAGGGCTGGTTTCTCTTTTTCTTTTTAAACTAGCCAAAAAGCTATAGCAAATGTATGTCACAGTCATGGACATGATATGCTAATTGCTAGTCAGTTGTGTATTGGGGGAGGGACTTTTTCATTCTGGGAAGCATCCGATTGGACAAAATCGCATTACATGAACTTATACCATGGTCCGTTCCATATTAGTGTGCGGCTTTAATTAATGCACACACACACACACACACACACAAATAACTCGCATATAAACACAGTGAGAGGGAGAGAGGTCAGAGATCGCAGATTACGCTGTGCACACACAGAAACTTAATGTCAGTGCTGCCCCGCAACTTTTATTAATAAAATACCATACTAGATCGCTATATTATATTTCTCAGCAAGGAGGTGCTGTTTTTGAAGTAACTAAACAGCTTCATTGTTTGCAGAGAGAGATGCGCAGACACAGGTAACTCACACACAACTGTCATCTCTCTCTTTCTCTCACGATCGATATTTCATTCAAATAATTGCTATAATTCATTCAAATAAATGTGGTCTTACCGCACTATTTAATCTCCGTATCTGATTTGAAGCGGGCAGAATACGAGAGCTAACGAGCCGTAACTGACAAAAATAACTGCCTTTTTTACCCTTCCCATTAAATATTTGTGCTGCTAACATCATAAACAGCTTTTAAGTTGTCAATGCTGGCAAATGACCATGGTATAAGCGGCATAATGCATGGCTAGCTGTGCATTATCCCTTACATGAATCATCTATATTTTTGGTCCATTTACACTACTGTTCAAAAGTTTGGCATCAGCAAGGCTGCATTTATTTGAATATATTTTCAAATGTAATTTATTCCTGTGATGCAGTGCTGAATTTTCAGCAGTCATTACTCCAGTTTTCAGTGTCTAAACGATTTTAATGCACTTCGCAGAAGCAACCACCCTCCACTTTGCGTCGGGTGGTTCTCGGCCTCCACGTCGTGCATTAAAATCGTTTAATGCACAGCTAGCCGTGCATTATCCCTTACATGAATCATCTATATTTTTGGTCCATTTACACTACTGTTCAAAAGTTTGGCATCAGCAAGGCTGCATTTATTTGAATATATTTTCAAATGTAATTTATTCCTGTGATGCAGTGCTGAATTTTCAGCAGTCATTACTCCAGTTTTCAGTGTCTCATGACCCTTTAGAAATTATTCTAATATGCTGATTTGCTGCTCAAGAAACATTTATTATTATTGTTGAAAACGGTTGTGCTGCATAATAGTTTTGTAAACCGTGATACATTTTTTTTTACAGGATTTGTTTTGATGAGTAGAAAGTTTAAAAGAACAGCATTTTTTTGAAATAGAAACTTTTAACATTATAAATTTAATTGATTGAATTTGTACAATAATTTACAATTCAATGTGCACTTGCTAAATAAATAATTTCTTTAAATAATTTCTTTTTTCTTTAATTTACCCTTTTGAACAGTACTGTACAAACAGTATATCTACAAAATATTATTTTTGTCAACTTTTAGGAGTTCACTGGTGTGTAGATTACTTCGAAGCTAATAGACAAAGTCTAAAGGCCACAAAAATGTAATGGAAAATGGGAACTGAAAGATTCTTGATTAGAAAAACACAATCAGGTTGTCTAAGAGAAAGTCAGAGAGAGAGAGAGAGAGAGAGAGAGAGAGAGAGAGAGAGAGGGACACAGGGAGAGAGCAAATATGATACAATATTTGGGTTGAGAGAGAGAGAATGAATACACCGCTGAAGGAAAGAGACACCAGAACTTTGCAAACTACAGCTCTGGCCTGGGAGTGGAGTTCATCTAGTAATATCAAGACAAACATCGCTTACTATTGCTCATACTTTGGGTTATTTGAACAAACCCCTAACCTTAGCTATTCATCGAAAATCAACCCAGGCTCACTGGAAAACCTGCAAGATCATATTACGTTACTTCTTGCATGTTTCGCAACACTTTCAAAGTCAACTGTCCAGTGAGTGGTGCTAAATCTGCATTTAGTTTTGAACAGATGAACGTAAATCTAGCACTGTTTTATTATGTTGGTTGTTGTATGTATCGTGACAGCAGAATGACAAAAGATGATCAATGGACTGATACCTACATGTGGACCGGGGTTACCCTGTTGTCCATGCGGTCCAGGCTCTCCTTGAGGACCCTGTTAGAACCATTTAAAAAAACACTTTAGTACACAACACTACTATTATTCCTACACTTCACTGTTCCATGGAGCCTATGTCATTTTATAAAGATATGAAAAACAGTCCCAGTACCTCAAACTCCAAAAATACTCTACATGTTAAACAACAGACACGTGGAAATTGCAAATCCATCTTTTTCCATTGGCCTTCCTTCCTGAATTGCACAGACTACTGTAATAAAATCTATTATAGCAGCGTTAAACTACTGGCAAAGAGGAAGAGACATAGAGATGAGTAAAATTTCATAACAAACTGCATATTGTAAGTAAGGAGGTTGTAGTTAGAGACCTTGAGTAAATGGAAAGCTGATAAATTAGGATAATATAACATTTCTTTGTTTTTATTTTATTGAAACTAACTCCAGTGCAACTTCTAGCGTTTAATAAACCTAAATGAGTTGATTTGCTAGCTACGAAGTTGGACCAAACATGTATGTATACTGATGCATAACTGATCTATGTGATTCAACAGAAATACTTACTCATAAAATTAATGACAACACAATCAGTTAAGTCACTGTTATGGCTATTTATTAGTTCATTCAAAGTTGGTGCTTTTTGTCAATTTAAATGATTTAAAAAAATCTATATATTTTTCATTATTTATATTGTTTTAATATAGTTTTATTTTTAATCAGTCAATCTCATGGACCAACCAAAAAACCTCACAGACCACATTTTGTGAACAAATGAATAAGAAACACACAGAATCATGGTGAAAACATTACTATTAGTACTGAATGGCTGTGTGAATCCTACACTTCCTGTCTTGCATATTTTAGTGGCAGACTTCATACCTTCTCAATTTCAGCACTTCCCAGTCAAAGCTCACCCCCTGCTGCCACGGTAACAGTGACATTAGCTCTCTCCTGCCAGGCCCACTGTGTTTCTCTTATCTAAAAGCCTTATTTAGATATGACATTTGCTCAGGACAACAATTATGTTTCAGAGTGGTTAGAGGTTGTCAGTTAACCAGGAAGCCCCTTCATGGGGCTTAGAGACGAGAAGCACACTATTAAACAGGGGAGAAAAAATGCTTACCATATTTCCTTTAGGGCCAGGTGGTCCATCCAATCCAGGAAGACCCTGCATGTGTATAAAACAGAGGTGTCTAGCTGTGAGTTTCATGCTATTTGGACAGTTGTAGTTAAGCAAGTGTGGTGTTTATGGTACATACACGCTGTCCAGAGGTACCAGGAGAACCTCTGGGGCCCAGCAGTCCTCTTGGACCCTGGTAATCAATAAAAGAGACATATTGTGAGAATTAATCAGACTTTTATACTGAACACAAGTGGTCTTCAGGCCAAAAGACCTCTTGGTGGACAGAGATACGGAGTATGAAGCCCTTTTACATATGTGTTGTATTTTGAGTTACAACAAGTACCATATTAATGTATAATTTTACACGAGATTTGGCCAAACGTTCTTCTATGAAGAGCCAAAAAACTAATTTAATTGAGGGCTGTGGACTGAAAGTAAATGTTGCATTATATCCAACAATAGGTAACACTTTATAATAACTTTCATTAATAAATCATTAACAAACATTATATAATGCTTTATGGATCATTAGTTAATATATATTCAAAGAGTTAGAAACGTGAGATAATGTGTTTGTTAATGTTTGCTAATACACTTATTAAACATTAGATAATGTTCAAACAAATCATTATTTCATGCAAGTTAAAATGCTTACAAACGTCATTAAACTTTCAATTCTAAATGATCAAGCACTTATTGAAAATCTACAAATGATTTTACCAGATGTTATAAATTGATTAAAAGCTTGTGTTAATGCACAACACTTTAGCTGTTATTGAGGTGTGATACGGGTAAGGTTAGGGACAGGTTTAGTGGTATGGGTAGGTTTAAGGGTTGGTTAAGGGGTCAACAGTATACAGGGGTCAGTTTGATTATTATAAGGGAACACGGTTCAATCTGTTTATATTATTTTGTTTTGATAGATGAAGAAGTATTTTCTTTTAAAAAATGATTTGTTTTCCCCGGTTTATTTATTATTCAAGGACTATCCTGTTTAATGATGTACTGAAGGGTAGTTTACTAATATGAGTGCTGAGGCAATAAAAAAAAAATTTGCACCAAAATTACAATCTGTTATGTCTTTAGCAAGCATTTAGCTAAACCAGCCACCCTTTACACAAACCTTGTTACATTAGCTAAAATTCCAATGCCCATAAAGATACTAAATGATTAGTAATCGTTTATAAACATTTACAAATGATGAATAGTTTCAACTTTAGATTGGCTACTGCAAACACATGAACAATTGATTAATAAATGATTAGTAAAGATGTGTGGATAGGGTAAATTCAGGTTTTCTGGGACACTTTTTGCCATCGAGATGACTGTTCATAAAGGTATTAATGATTAGTAAACATTTATAAACATATGCAAATGATGAAGAGTTTCCACTTTAGATTGGGTACTGCAAAAACACAAACAAATAATTAATAGTAAAAATAATAATTATTTGTTAAGATTTGTAAATTGAGGTCTACACAACAAACAAAGACCAACAAATGAAAATCAAACGAACTGAAAGTTTACTGACATTTGTAAGCATTTCAATTTACATTAAATAATCATATGTTAATCATTAGGTAATGTTTAGTAAGTTCATTAGTAAACATTAACAAGAACATTATCTCATATTTCCAGCTATGAATATATATATATATATATATTAACTAATGATATGTTAAGCATTATATAATATTTGTTAATGATTTATAAATGAAAGTTATTATAAAGTATTACCCAACAATATTATATTAAAATTTACATTAAAAAAAATTGTATTCACTTAAATCGCATTATTCCTGTCTTGTGATATGGCATGGCAGAACAAATCAAAAGGCATCATGGACCAGCTTTGGCCCTGGTTTAGGTATTAGTATAGGTATATATTGTGATTTATATACTTTATGGTGATGATTAAACTACAATATTATTAAAATGTTATCATTATTGATGAGTCATTTAAATGTGCATTATATATATATATATTTTTTTTAAAGTGGAAGAAACATTCTGCTGAGCTTTAGCTGTGGTTGAAGTTAACTCTATATTTTTGTTGAATGTAAATGTAAAAAAAATTCACTACAATTTTTTTTAAATAACTGGTGGATTTCCTGTAGTTACATTGTATAACAGTAACATTTTTCAAAAGTATGTATACTTTCTGGTCTAGACTGCTTAAAGCTTCATATTAAAATTATCTTAAGGGAAAAATAAAGGTTAATTATTATTTTTACAGTCAGCACAAAACACAAAGTTTAAGAAAGGACACCCTGAATATGCTTTTTTTATTCATTCAAAATGGTTTGCAACTATGCAAAACAGAAACAAAGGCAGATTGGTTTTTTTTTTGCTGTAGATCCAGACGTTCACTACATCAACTGGGGGACTCGCTCCAATTAGATTCCAAATCTTCAGGGCTGATTCTGTTATTTGTAAGATTTCTGCTGAAGGAGTATTTAGTCAAAAAGCGTGTAAAATATGTGAGACCATTAGTGTGTCGTAAAAAAAAAAGAGAAAGAAAGAGAGCTGGAGAAAATAGAAAACTACTGCGCTCCTTTCCTGTACAGAGATATTACCTCGATGAGCAATGAGCAACAAATACTGAAATTTGAGGTGGAAAGAGCAGGGTGGGGCATGAAGAGTGATTATAGTTGGCAGTCATGGTCTTTTAAGTGAAGTTAATAACCCTCACATTCTGTCCTGTGAGCCCCAAGGCCCCAAAACATGCTTAACATTGAACTATCAAGTTGATAGACTTTTCCTAATTAGATTATACACAAAGTTTTAACTCGATAATACACACCTTACATGGAAAGGTCACATTACTTGTGTTTGGGGTCTCAGAGACTTCAGGTAATATTGTGAAATATTATTCAGATTCAAAATAAATGGTTATATTTTAATATATAATTTATTAAAATTGCTGAAAAAGAGGTGCTCTACCAACAGAAGAGGAACCAAAAATCAAAAAGTCATGTCAACTAGAAAAGGTGCAACACTCACTCTTGAAGAAATCCAACTTTATTCAGGCCTCCATCAGACCTGATGAAGGCCTGGATAGTGGCTGAAACGTCACATGTATTTTAACCAATAAAGCTGGATTTCTTTAAGAGTGAATGTTGCACCTTTTCTAATTGATAGTATATAATTTATTGCCATGATGGTAAAACTGAATTTTCAGCAGCCATTACTCCAAAATCTTTAGTGTCACATGATTCTCCACAAATCATTCTAATATACTGATTTGACAAGGGAATACAAAATGTAAATGGAGATGGAGATGCTTACACTTTCTCCTGGCATTCCTCTCTGTCCAATCTCACCATCCTCGCCCTGCAGACAAGAGCACAGACATGTTTGTCAACGTGTCTGCACACCTATGCAAGTACATATGAATCCAAATAAGAAAGTAATGTGTCACTTGGTCAAACGCACCCTTGGTCCGTCCTCTCCTGGAGGGCCTGGTAAGCCAATGGGACCTGCCTCACCCTAAAAGAAAAAGAAAACGAAAGAGATGAAATGACAGAGGGAGAAAAAGAGTAAATGTATTATTACTGTCCCTGCCTGCCTGCCTGCTTTTGGCTCCATACATTGTTAGGGCCCATGACCACTATTTATAAGACTGCATCCCTATAAGAAGAGGCTATAACATAGTGGGACCTGTAATTACCCAGAGCAGGATTAGGAGGACAGCACTATTTCCACTTGGCTGGAAATATACACAGCCCCCTGTGATCTGCGGGCCTCTTTCACTATACTAGCCCAGGCCAAGCAAGCCACACTCTGCTGTGCCCAGCGAGGGCAGCTTTCATTTGCAAGAGGAACGCAAGCATGCCAAACAACCCCAGTCCTACTATAATGAGTTCAACTTCTCCTGCCACTATGACTGTCAGCATGCTAAACAAAACGTACAGCGGCAGACATGGAACATTATAAAAATGCACTCGGTCTTGGCAGGAGCCGAAAATAAGCTTTTCAAATAAAGTAAGGCAATACAGTAGACTTCTCTAGGAAAACCGCTGCTGAGGAATGAAATGAAACCAGGCAAGAATTGTTCCCATAATCATAAAGTGCTGTTCGAGACAAGCTGGAAGTTTGATAACTGAATTAAAAATTAATTTTTCTCACGGGTGGTGGTCAGGCTTGCGTTCTGCTGTCTAGAACAATTCCGTTTCATTTCAAGTATTACAACAATGATGAGAACCTAAGTATGAGTTTTCTTAAGAATAGCTCAGCAGCACTTACCCTGTGTCCCTTCTCACCAGGTAGACCAGGAAGTCCATCAAATCCTCGGTCTCCCTGCAAGACAGCAATCACAACAATGAGAATAAAAATAGGGCTGTCAAAGTTAAAACATAGGTGCATAATTCTGTAATGTTTTTAATGCATTTATTACACTCTGTGTTACTGTGCATTGATTTAAAAATATATATGCGTGTGTGTGTGTGTGTGTGTGTGTGCACGCTTAACTGGACCTACAAATAAAGTTTGTAATCACAAATATTATTTAGCATATATTTACAAAATTTTTTCAAATTAATGTTAAAAAATAGGTATATTTAAAAAAATATATATATTTCATGGGATCTTTTTTGCCAAGTATTATCAAGGCCAGGGGGTCATAGATATAAAAAACAATACATCTGGCCTTTTTTTTCTTCTGAGGATAAAATAGGCACTTATAGCTATAATTTAGGCCTAAACTGCAAATTATCAGACCAATGTTTTTGTTTATCATTTACTTAATAAATTAGTAAATCATAAAAACATTAGCCTGATCATTTGATAATTATTGATATAATTCCATAACATTATCAATGTTATAACAACTTTTAATTTAAATAAACTTCCTTAAATTAACAATTGTCATATAATTACATTATAACAAATAAAACAGTGAAAAAAAACATATGCTGCACTAATTGCATTATTAATTATTTTTTAACTGAAATGAACTCATTAATTCAAAATCAGTAATTATATAACACAGTCACACAGTAACAAACACTCCCCATTCCCTGCTTACCTTAAATTAACAATTGTCATATAATTACATTATAACAAATAAAACAGTGAAAAAAAACATGCTGCACTAATTGCATTATTAATTATGAATTTTTTTTAATCATTTTTTAACTGAAATGAACTCATTAATTCAAAATCAGTAATTATATAACACAGTCACACAGTAACAAACACTCCCCATTCCCTGCTTTCAATACAAATGAAGCAGTTCTGAAACCTCAAGCAGTGCTAACTGTGTGAAAGCGGAGGTTTTGAGTCAGAGGTGATTTTACCTTGGCTCCCGATTCTCCAGGAATTCCTCTGGCTCCATCAGCTCCATTTCGGCCCTGTAAAACCAAGTCGCATTATCACCCTGATGTTATGTGCTACGAGCAGGTTAATGCGCTTAACATATGTTTTAAACAACTGCAGAATCAATGTGAGAGAGGAGATGACGTGAAGCAAGTGAGTAGGCCTACACACAACCTAAACAAGGCGTCTACAACACGTTTGGGGATTGAGTAATTGTGGCAATTTGACTAATTTAAAATGAAACTGTGAATAAACTGTGTCAAAGGAGAATCTGACGTTTGGCACTAAAAACTGGCAGATGTGGATGTGAATCCAACAGACATATGTCATTCAGTTAAGCTGAAACAGGTAAATTAAGGTCGAGGCTAACAGGCACAGACAGTTTCAAGGAAAATCTGGTGCGCGGTTGGAAAAAAAAAACAGTGGGCTTCTTGCGTAGAGCCTTTCAGCTTCACTTTGCCAGAGTACTTCAGCAGCAGTGTTGCAGATGTATTATGTATGCCACCTTTTTGCTTTTTCAATGTCATGCCACAATCCTGAAATGAACTCATTAATTCAAAATCAGTAATTATATAACACAGTCACACAGTAACAAACACTCCCCATTCCCTGCTTTCAATACAAATGAAGCAGTTCTGAAACCTCAAGCAGTGCTAACTGTGTGAAAGCGGAGGTTTTGAGTCAGAGGTGATTTTACCTTGGCTCCCGATTCTCCAGGAATTCCTCTGGCTCCATCAGCTCCATTTCGGCCCTGTAAAACCAAGTCGCATTATCACCCTGATGTTATGTGCTACGAGCAGGTTAATGCGCTTAACATATGTTTTAAACAACTGCAGAATCAATGTGAGAGAGGAGATGACGTGAAGCAAGTGAGACAGTGGGCTTCTTGCGTAGAGAAGGCGTCTACAACACGTTTGGGGATTGAGTAATTGTGGCAATTTGACTAATTTAAAATGAAACTGTGAATAAACTGTGTCAAAGGAGAATCTGACGTTTGGCACTAAAAACTGGCAGATGTGGATGTGAATCCAACAGACATATGTCATTCAGTTAAGCTGAAACAGGTAAATTAAGGTCGAGGCTAACAGGCACAGACAGTTTCAAGGAAAATCTGGTGCGCGGTTGGAAAAAAAAAACAGTGGGCTTCTTGCGTAGAGCCTTTCAGCTTCACTTTGCCAGAGTACTTCAGCAGCAGTGTTGCAGATGTATTATGTATGCCACCTTTTTGCTTTTTCAATGTCATGCCACAATCAAACAAGTATTGGAGTAAATGTAATTAGTTACTGTACTCAAGTATCTTTTCGGGTACTTTGTAGTTGTACTGAGTATCAAAGATATTAGCAACTTTTACTCTTTACTTCACTACATTTTGAATGAGTATCTGTACTCTTTACTCCACTACATTTGAAATGAGTGTTGCAGTTACACATTACATTTTGCATGGACCTAGCTTTTTCTGCAGCAGTTTATTTCAGCTACAAAAGACGTGATATTGCCAACTACAGAGCACTGAAAGTACTGCATTTTGCCCTTACTCACCCAAACTTGTCAACAAGGCTAATTTATGTGAATGCGAGTTCCTTAGCAAGTATTTGTGAATCACAGATGTTTTATATATGAGATGAGGACATGACTGCAGCCGGCAATGAAGCCCAAACCATCACATGCACTGCAAGAAGGCTTTTTAATTTTACTTAACATTATTTTATTTATCCATTATACTGAAGATACCTTTTTGAAATATGTTGTTTTTTGTTTGTTTGTTTTGTTTTGTTTTGTAATTTTGAGGTGTTCAGTTTTATTTTGGTTTTAGAAAATAAACGTGATTGCTCTCCTCACAAATCAACTCTTTCTTGTTTTTGTTTCATGCTCTCTGTGCCTTGCCCTGGACTTTTATGTCACTTCCTGTCTCCCGTGGTGTTTGTAGTCAGTTAGTCTGTTTGTTCATTGGTTCCCCTTGATTAGTCTCCCCAGGTGTGTCTTATCTTGTTAAGCTTGTTAGCCCCCTGTGTATATAGCCCTAGTTTTTCTTTAGTTCCTTGTGAGTTGTTGAATGTAATGGTTGTCTGTTTGCCAGTCATTCTGTTCTTTGTTCCCTTTGGTTTTTTGCCTTATTGTTTGTTCTAGTTTTTCCATGAAATACCAGCACATAGATCCTTGCCTCTGCCTGTTTTCCGCAGCTTCTCCACAACGTTACAGTTTTTCACTGGGATGTCTCTTTGACTAGTGCATCTTTGAGCCGATAAGTAAAATACTTAAGTACTGTTAAAATTAGATACTCTAAGACTTTAAACTCAAGTTGTTTTGGAATTGGTGACTTGTAACGTGTAGTGGAGTAATTTTCACTGTAAGGTATCTGTACTTTTACTCGAGTATGTTTTTTTAGGTACTCTTTACACCTCTGAACACTATCAACTCACAGCATGAACAGATTTTTCCAATTCTTACCCTCTTGCCTAGTTTTCCAGCTGGTCCAGTAGGTCCTTGAAGTCCTCTTGGTCCCTTAAAAACACACAACATTCTGTAATGAAAGCGTACTGCTAAATGACAAATGAAAAGCAGTGTTGAAAATTAAGTAAAAGTAATTGTTAAATTGTTATTTTTTATGTAATGTAACCCTTCAAGCCTAATACTTCTTCCTCACCGTGAGCTGACTGAGACTCTCCCTGCTCCAGAGAAGAAGCGCATATATATATTTTTACACTAGAAAGTGCTATTTTACTGCGGATGTGTGTTTATCCCCCAGCATATTTTACATTCAATTGCATATAAGCTTTACCATGAAAAGAAGCACGCTAATTGTTATGACAGCATTAAAGCTTTCAAATCTCTGATGCAACACCCTAATTATGTTAATTTATCCACAACAAATAATGACTACAACTGGATTCCACTTTGCTTGCTTTTTGTCATTTAAAAGCAGCATTTTTAGAGACATAATTTCGGGGTGGGCCTAAAGAAAACATAGTCACTGATAAGCACATCTTGTGTGTATATATATATATATATATATATATGAGTACATAAAGTTTGGGGTCAAAAATTTCAAAAGTTTGGGTTTGGAAGATACAGTTTTCAGCAGCCATTACTCCAGTCTTCAGTGTCACAAGATCCTTCAGAAATCATTCTAATATGCTGATTTGCAGCTCAAGAAACATTTCTTACTCTTATCAATGTTGAAAACAGTTGTGCTGCTTTTTATGGAAACCATGATACATTTTTTTCAGGACTATTTGACAAATATCAAGTTTAAAAGAACAGCATTTTTTTTCAAATCAAAATATTTTGTAGCATAATAAATGTATTTACCGGCACTTTTGATCAGCTTTATTGGATTCTAGCTAAATAATATTAATTTCTTTCAAAACTTTTGAATGGTAGTGCAGATGGTAGTGAATCTGAGGAATACTCATATCATTTTTCTATAAATTAAGATTACAATTAGGATTAAAGCTGTTAAAACAGGTTGTTAAAATGTAGAGGCAGTCACCTGTGGGCCAGGATCTCCACTTTCCCCTTTAGCACCAGATGCACCAGGACCCCCCTGAAACACACACATACACATGAGTTTTACGTCTCACACACCTCTCTAAACACCAATATCATATGCGTGGAGCTGTGTTTGGGTCACACGCTGGCTACCCAAAAACATTCCTCAGCCATTGCTTTTAAAGGGCATTTGATTTGGAGGCAGAAAAGCAGAAAAGAATGAGAGAAATTCTAGTGGCATTCTTTTATGATGCATCTCAAGAGGATGAAATACAGAAACACAAAAATGACAAAATAAATCTGAGAAGGGAATGTGAAAACAAACTGCAGACAGTCTGAAAGCACATCAGTACCAAAGAACTGTTCATTTTCTGGACATAAATCATAGCGAGATGAAAGTAACACATGTTCCTATCATTGTTTGTGTGATGTCAACTGGAGGGAATTGGATTCAAATGGAAGACACAAGAAAAGAAAAGAGACATTCATGAAGGTAAATTTGCATGCATGTGGCTTTTAGATCATGTTTATTTTCTGTGCTCTTCTGTGCCCCTCATCTACATAAAATAAATAAAATGTCAATTAAAAAAATATAATAATAATAATAATAAATTAAATGCATTTAAATTGAACAAGCATCACAATTCCTGAACTTTTTATTCACAACTTAATTTCATTGGCTGCAATATATTTAGGTTTGTAAAACTGTTTTTAAAATAATAATAATAAAAAAAATACAAAATCTGATTGACACAAACACATTGGAAACTGATTAAAGCATTTTCCAAATCTAACATCACCTATTCATGCGATTTATTTAATTCATGTTTTTTTTATAAATAGATATGTTTTGCTTTATATTAATATATTTATATTTATTGGTGCATTACAATTAGTAACTAACTAATTAAATAAATAATAGCAGCAAATGTTGGGTAAAAAGATACAATTTGAAAAAATTTATTCAACATATGAAGTGAATGTAGTATGAACAGAACATTTTTATTTTAAAACAACATTTTATTTTGTTGAAAAGGAATAACTTTGTATAATTGTTTCCCTCAAATTAAATTGCCTATGCCATTTAGAAGTGGTACACTTACTACAGGGCCGGAACGTCCCGTCAATCCCATTGGACCAGGTGGTCCCCTCATAGTCAACTGCCGCAACAAAGCAAATGGTCAAAACAAAGGTTTGCAAACCTGACATTAACAGCAGTAGAGTACATAAGTTGAGTTCATACGTGTTACTGGCAACTGATCCATTTCCATGTACCATACAGTGTTATGAGAACTATAAACCTTAAAACTATAAAGTCTTGGTTTTAACAGTCCATTTAAACTTGCTCATATTCATTATCTGCATTGTTTCAGCCAAAAAAAAAAAAAAACCTTCAGGGCAACATGAACAAGGGTACACACCCGGGTCTGGGCAAGGATGGCTTGGGCCTGAGCTTCTTGTGCCGTCACCACTGGACCTTTTGAAGCTTCTCCACCAGCGCGGAACTGTCAGAGAAACATCCACAAACACAGAAATCGCAAGTTTATTTCAGTACTTTTACTGCATGCTGGAATTAAAAGGGGCCACTGGAGTCCCTACGACATAAAGCGGCTTCAACGGTCTTGTCATTATGGGTTTGCATCTGGGCTGCAAAGTGCCAGTTTGTATAGAGTTAATGTAGACTGTTTGGTGTAGCGTGAGTGCAGTGGGGTTACAGGGTGGGGTTAGGGCCTTTTGCAGCTGCAACAATTCATAACCTACTTGGATGTTTACAATGATAGTAATTTGTCTGATGTTAGAGGAAGTGGCCATTTGCAGCTGATTTTGAGATATGTTTGGTGGTTTCTCTAAGAATGTGGCCTAGAAAATCTTGTCCTTAATCAGAATCATTGGAAATGTATGGGTTGGACGAGCTTACCGGCAACATGAGGATGGTGCCAGAGGGCCCCGGAGCTCCATCTGCGCCTGGCAAACCAGGACGACCAGGAGGGCCCTGAGAGAAGAAGAGAGAAGAAGAAAACAAGGAGGGAGAACAGAAGGAAATGAGCCATAAAGTGTGTGGAAACGAATGTGAAAATGGCTGTACAAAATAGAAAACTACTGGCATGGAAAGAGATTCTTTCTTTAAAGTTTAAAATACACCAATCCGCTCATGAGCAAAGGAAAAATACTGTAGGATCATTTTAAATTGTCGGTTAGGTCACCTAAATCTACTCAAAATCCCTAAACAGTCCACAAAAACAAAAGCTTGACTAAATTCTTTTGAGAAAAATGCTGTCGCAAATTGCACCTAAACTGCGGGAGATTTCCACAGCGTTAAAAAAAATAGCTAATGTGCTAAAGCCCATCATTATCCCATAATAATACACTTAAGTTTATTTCGCTTTATATTTACACAGAGGTTTATGTATGTTTTGTGTTGTTTATAGCTCCTGTCATTGCACTGTTTATTTGTGTGTGTGCTCGTAATGTAACTGACACCCCATAAGAAAAGCGGGGAGGACTATAACACATGCACACATATGATGGAATGCTGCTAGGGTAGTTTTGGGAAGAGATCTCTTTAGCAGGCATGTCACGCTCCTCTTGTAGATGGCTCACTTTAAATTGTTCCCATATGACGGTGTAATTGTGTGAGTGCATGTGTGTGTGTGTGTTTTAAGGCTGGGCAAACGTCCTTTCTATGTACCATATACACTGACACCTAGCGCACATGTGCTTCTGTATATAAATCAGTGAGGATGTGCTCTGTAAAAGGGTCAGACTATCAAGGGAAGTGGCCATCGTTGTTAATTAGGCATTTTCAGCTACAGATTTTGCCCTTGTACGAGGAGGAAATGATGGACATCAAAGCGAGTGGTAAATCACTTCCCCTCACAGACAAAAAGCCCTTTGTGCTGGTAGACGTAGGTCAATAATGGTGAGAGTGCTCTCTGTTTCCCAGAATGCACTGCAAATGTTAACTCTGCGGGAGGTGAAGAAGAAGAGGCCAAACTAAACCACCGTAAAGAGGAAAAAAATCCAGCTGTTTGTTCATTTCCGACCAGCTTTTCTCTGTGTACTAGTCAACAGAGCGCATTTACTATTCTGAAAAATGGTGCCGACATAAGGATCTATGGGAGAATGAGTATGTGTTAATGTGTATGAGAGGTTATAAGGTCTGCTGTTCCTCTGGAAGTGTTATTAGAGTGAGGATTTATAAGCAGATCTGGTTTCAACGTGGCCTCCCAGGTCTTTGTAATACACACACATCTGCTCATTCACATAGTTACAACAGGCTGCTTGCCATTGGCTTATTCTCTTGATGCTTTAAACAATGTAAACTTTACCATTGTCTTTATGTGGAAGTAAAAAACTACTAACTCCTCTAATAAATTGAGAAAAAGGATTGTGAAAGTTCTGACAGGGCTACCTATAACTGGTATATATATATATATATATATATATATATATATATATATATATATATATATA